CACCCAGCAAAAGTTCCCGCAGAGTAAGATCATTCTAACAAGGTTTGTTATTCAGCTAAGCTGACTGCACTCAACAAGAGTTCCCGCAGAGTTGGATCATTCTAACAAGGTGTGTTATTCAGCTAAGCTGATTGCACTCAACAAGAGTTCCCACAGATTTAGATCATTTTAAGAAAGTATGTTATTCAGCTAAGCTGATTGCACTCAGCAAGAGTTCCTGCTGAGTTAGATCATTCTTAGAAAGTATGTTATTCAGCTGAGCTGATTGCACTCAGCAAGAGTTCCCACAAAGTTAGATCATTCTAAGAAAGTATGTTATTCGGCTAAGCTGATTGCACTCAGCAAGAGTTCCCGCTGAGTTAGATCATGAATGCAATCAGTTTACCACACCTCCTCTTGTTTCCAAAGTACTTGTATATAATTACCAGCTTTTCTGTATTCTACTCAAAATCAGGAGCAGGTGTGGTATTCAGCTAAGCTGATTGCACTCAGCAAGAGTCCCCGCAGAGTTAGATCATTCTAAGAAGGTGTGTTATTCAGCTAGGCTGATTGCACTTAGCAAGAGTCCCTGCAGAGCTGGATCATTCTAAAAAGACTGATGGTGTCTATAGGGGAATGTGGTCTTAATTTCCAAACTGACCTATGGCCTGGAAGAGTGACAGCGTGATGGACAACCCTGTCACAGGTTGCCATGTCACTGGTTTCTGGCTATATATATTTCATATATATATATATATATATATATATATATATATATATATATTTCATATGTTTGCACCTATTTAATTTGTATACAGTACTATTAGGCCTTCAACATGGCACAGTAATGATGTGATCTTTTCAATTGGGGAAAAATTGTGAATTTTACAGATACTGCATTTTTTCAGGGCATAAATTATTAAAATTAGAACATTCCTATTGAGTGATTGAAAAACTGGCTACCTCATAGCTCTTTTGTTAAATACAGCAAAAGCATCACAAATGCTACACAAAAATGTTTTTTAAAGATTCAAAAATTAAGTATTTGATTATTTTGACTATTTTGATAATTTTGATAAGACTGATAATTATTGCCCATAGAAAGCAACATGCCATTATTCTTATCGTACATACCAGAAATGTTACATTTATTTCTGTGCCCTTTGTGTTAATATTTCAATGTAATGGAAAATAACAGCCAGATATGACCTGATATGGTGAACTGTGTATGACACTGTTTACTTTTAATAATTTAACTGCACTAGTTGATTTTAAAGGGCAAGAAAGATGCAAATATAAATTACTCTGTCCTAGATTACATCGGGGATCTTGGATCCAACATTCTGATTTGGCCTCTTATACTTGTCCCCAAAGTTAACTAAAGGATCATATATTCCCAGTAAAACAAGTTCAGTATCCAATTTCTAAGTAAATGATATTTTCATAGATGCATGCACCAATGGTATATTACAGCCAACAGTTTCTATACTACCACCACCATATCCTCCCTGTCTTTTACCTTTCAGTGTACTTAATTAAGTGCAACCGTATATGCAGTTATCTTCAAATCTATGCGTCTTGTGACTTGAACATTTTTAAAAACACAAAACAAATTTTATTTAACACGTCACAGATTTTCTTTTATCATAAACTAATAATTATCTGGAGTTAAACTGGAATATGTTTCAGTTTACACCAAATGGTATATCAAAACATATCTAAATATGATAAAATCATAATTTGACTTACATGTAGTTTGTGACAAAAGAAAACTTGCAAGCTCATGATAACATTACATTATATTGAACAAGGCCATAATAATATATGCACCAGTGCAGAAAAAGATTCACGTGGATTGCATTCAATTTGATATTGTTAATGAACTTATAAATTTCAACAAATGTAATTAAAACCCTGTCATAACTCGACAAATTAATACCCATCAGCAGTCATTTGAATGGAAGTGTCACTGTCACACTGCATGATTTATAATGTAATTCCACTTAGCACACATTAACAATGTACAATGCAAGTAGAAATCACTCCAGATTCAACTATTTTTCATAATTGAGCCATCAGTCATTTATCCTCTTGGGAGCTGATCTGTTTACGAAACAAGGCATGATCTGACTGAGCTATTAATGCTTACCTCTGAAATCAGACGTAAAAACAAGACAAATTGATTCACGCGCAGGCCCAACCCTTATTTTGAGGAAACCAGAATTTTATCAAACCTTCGAATATTCTTTTTTTAAAATGAAAAAATGCATTAGCTTTTGGTTTGGTAAAAGGAAAAAATTCTTAATGCTGCAGCTGCGCTTATGTTGTTAAATCACCCACCACTTTGCCCTTTTGCATCAATATTGGTAATAACAAGACCCTGATTCTGTCAAATGTTTATTTATTGATTGATTTATTTATTGATAATTGAGAATAATTATGCTTAGTTACATCTCAGAAAAAATCAATCAAGTCAAAAGCTTTTTTGTAAACTTACAGAAAAAAATCTAATGGCCATGTTGGACTACCCTCTACCAGGGCCACAGATTGATTTTTCAAAAGATATTCACAGACATGTCTTCAGATAAATAGAGTCATTTCATTCACTGGCTTTTTGAAATTTGCCTATAATATCTGCCACCCTGGTAGTGGGTAATGTTGGACCACTAAATTCACACATTCTGAAAAATCTACTGGTCTGCATGAATTTTTAAATGGCAGGGACATCAGACCAGTGGCTAACGCCTGTTGCAGACTGATATATTCTGACATTCAGAAACAACTTTCATAAAAATACTTACTTACTAGTGGTCTTCACTGAACAGTAGGAAAAAAATAATACCCTGGAAAATCCTCTTATGTTTACCTGATTCCAATAATTGTTTTTCTGTAAATGAGGTACATTACACTAATTATAAAAGCTAAAATTTAAAGAAACAAATTAGCAGACAGTTTTTCGGTCAAGTCCAGGGGCTGATATCCACTAATTAAAAAGTTCAGGGGCTTCTTTCACAAAGTAACTTTACTTATAATATCATAAATGTGCCTAGGGCAATAGTTATTTTCTAATACCTGCAACAGGTGGTAAAACCTTGCTAAGTATTGAAGCATTACCTTTCAAAATACGCCAAGTAAAATTTTCCACCATTTCATTGCATGCATGCAACTTATGCTTCCTCAGTTTAAAGTTTTAACTTAAAAGATGTTTGCAACTTCCGAAGGGTGTACTTAGCTGCTGCCCATCATGCACAATGCATTCACGTGACGATTCCTCTTGCAGGTGCACTTCAAATGTCCAATTTCTCACTTCAAACCCTAGTATTCCTGTCTAGGTTAATTGATGACATTAAGGTTAATCTGGTTTACCTGCACTAACAGTGCCTGGATAACAGTTTCTGTAGGTTGTATTATTTTTTTTACTTCAGTCCAGGCAACTTTCATGAAAAATTACCCATGTATCTGTTTAACTTATTTATTCATTGAATTTCACTTACTTATTTGCTTGTCTGTTTATTTATTTAACTGACATTTTCATTACATACAAAAAATGTCAATTGCTAAAGAAATGCTTAAGATAAGTCAAGCTGACAAGAAATATTTTGGAATTTTAGGGAAAAAACAAATCTTAGAAAAAAATCAATACTAGTATTTTGTAAAATAAAAACTCAGTTGTTTTTTTGGCAGTCTCAGCTAGGATGCCAGTGTGTCCCCCCCCCCCCCAAAGGCACTCACACACACACACACACACACACACATGCATACAAACGCACACACACAGCACCTTCATCTATGCATAGAAAGTGTAATTTTTACTAATTGTCCAGAAAAACTTTCAATGTTATGAGAGAAAAAAGGTTATCCCTCTATCCTATCCAGCATATGCTCCAACTTTTGCTCACTCTTTATACCCAGGGAGTATTAGACATTTATATCAAACAGATAAAAGTGTATCTTTAATTTAAATAACGCACGCATCTGATGTTTCAATACTAGTTATGGTCATATACATTATGTACATTATTATATCATTTATCTTTAGCCTCGGTCACAACAGGACGCACAAATTTCAGGATCGTACGTGCGTTGTGCGTCTTGCACACCTTGCGTCTCTCTTGCTAACTCCGTGCGAGGGGAGCAAGTTATGCTTGCGGCCTCGCTGTTCGCAGGCTATTTGTAGAATCTTTTGGACATGTCCAACATCCTCTGTACATGCTTACGGGCTGTCTGTGAACTCGAAACTGCGTAAGATGGACTTGCGGGGGACATGAGATTCTGCGCAGAATTTGGATGCAAACAGCCCGTAAGAGCCCGTACGTGCTTACAGGCTGTCTGTGAACTCGAAATTGAGTAAGAAGGACTTGCGAGAGACACGAGATTCTGTGCAGAATTTGGACGCAAACAGCCCGTACGGCTGGTTGTGACCGAGTCTTTACATATATGATTATACCACCTAATTTGAGCATTTTTCTTTGGTTTTCTAATGGGCCATCATATACTTCATGTATCTGGCAAACATACAATACATGTACCTACTGGGTCAAAACACGGTNCCCTACTGGGAATTAAAGCACTATACGTTTATAAACAATTAATAACTAGATTGTAGCACTTAAAACACTGTTAAATGACTTTTTTTTTACTAATAATTCTACAACTCGACCCTGTGTTCGTTCAGCTTCTTACGTAATTAAACAGTTTTCTTATTATATGCCTATTAGGCCATCATCATTCAGCAACATTTAGCTCAATGTCTACACAAAATGCACAGCTGGTTTTTACTTTTTATATTCATTCCTTAGCCACCGACATTTTTAAAACAAGATTGTACAGTACTTCATCACTTTTAATTGTTAGAAAATTTGTGCTCAAGCATTTACAGTTCTTCATCTCCTCTCTCTGTTGTAATCTAATCAATACTATAATCTATAAACAACTGTAGGTTAGATGCTCAGAAATGCCACTGAATTTGCGCTTAAACCACCAACATGCACTTGTGCTTATGATAAGTTATCACCACTTACCTGGTTCAATGCTTTTGTGTCCATCTCCTGGATAACTTTCTATTTGTTAACTTCCCTTTAGACCAAAGAGACGAACCTGTATGCTAAACTTTGACAGCAGTGGAAACATCAATTGCTTAACCATATATTTCACCACAATTTACCTGCATACAGGCACACATAATTTACAAAAAAAGAGGGCACACATGCTGTTATGGGATTTTGTATGGAAATAATGCATTCACGTTGGCTGAACTCAATGTGTAGTTTCTGGATGCATTCACACCCCTTTTTACTTGGATTTTAAACAGGTTTATCTGACTTCTTCACCCAAAATAACTATATGTGACTGCCAATAGTAATTTGTGATGAAAAAAATAAATTTTCAATCATTTTTCTTAAGATCTTTACAAATTTTCTAGTGTTTATGGAGAAATTTTGCTTATTTCAGTGCCTGTCATACACGTACAGTAATATGATGACATCAGTATCATTTCATATACAGCATTGTGTTTCATGTGACTTAAAACTTAAAAATACATACCAGTATGGACATGCACCATATAGTATATCAACTGGTACCATACATTATTTACAATACTGACAATATGCTTGTGTTGCAACAACCTCTGGGAACATATAAAGTAAATGAGTTTAATGTTAACCATATGCATAACTTGTGAAATATGTATGTACAAATACTAGTATGTAATGTCATTGATATTTAACTTCTCGTATGCCTAATATGTATACTACAGTCATTAAATATACTAGTACTGGCAAGAATGACATACAGTAGTAATAGCACAATCTGAAACTGTTCTTTAGTATTCACATTGTGTTAATATTACAAATATAATAAAAATAATTTGATCTGCACTGAGACCAACTGCAAGAAGCAGCTTCAAAATTGGACTCCTGCAATCAAATATCCCCCCACCAATACACTGATAAATCTTATTAACTCCTTGTAGGGGACTTTCGCTAAAGTGCAAGCAAATTATCAGCATAATGTTTGTCTGACAAACCTCCTCGAGCAGCTTGGGGGTTATTAACTACTGTGTGCTGATTAAGCTGATACCACTTAAGTGAGAATCCCTGCAGCTTGTAGGATGCATGAATCTGAATGTCCCCTTACTTTATCGAGACAAAATTTAAGACTGCTAAAAATTTAGGAACTCTTTTAATATATACCAAGATAAATCCCATTACATTTATACAATAGAGTGACGTCAAAGAGATTCATGTGGTTACTTCTTCAAGTTACCTTATTAAACGATCACATTTCACAAAACATAATGGACCTGCAGGGGTCACTGAATCATCATGTCTTTTCTACCTTATCATCTCTGTAGTTTTGACACTCACAAAGCACTAGATACAGTATTTAAAGTGGTTCCTATTATGTCTGGGTAGGGACATAAGAGATTTCCCAATGTTTTTTACAATGTATGGCAAAGTATCAATGTCTGATCCTTAAGTGCAGTGTATGATGATACCACTCAACTTCTGTCTATATAACATACAGTGCTATACTACATACGGCACTAACACTGTGGCACTATCACAGCCTAATTTCATATGGTATGTTTGTAAAATATTGCCAAAGGAATAAAGTCACTCACTGAATTATACAATTGGTCAACTTGTGGTTATAATATTTTTCTCCCTTACATCTTTTCATTCTCTCTTAAATCTATTAATGATTCATAAAATTACAAACCAGCTTAATTTAGGATCATAGGTAATCCCAGATGGTTTAATTTAGTGCACAAAAGCCAAAAATTCATTGAACACAAGACAATTTATCTAAAAAATACAAAAAAGATGTATGGAATGATCCCACCATGTCCAGTTTTGAATCTGGACCTGTACTTAAGGCCAACAGGTGACCCTAGTAGATTTAATTAAAGGTACTCAATCCTTGCTGGAGTTTTAAAACATCACAAACATTATTTTCATCCTGTAATTTAATAAAGACTTAAAAAAGGATGAAACCCCGGAAATAAAAATACATTGGAACTTGACTTGCATTTTAAAACAAGGCAGCAAAGCTGTCAAATGTACAGACAAAAAGCTGAAAATAACAATGCACAAAATAGGCTACTGTCAATTCTGATACAAAAGTACATTATGCTTAACTGCAAATTCAACATCAAAATTTAATTATGCTCAACAGGTAACACCAATGTAAATAAAATATGAAACAAGCATAAGGCTTCAGGCCCATGAGAGTTCACACTTTGAAAGTGCCAGAATGAGAAAAATGAAAATTTTACACAAAATTGCATAAATTCAATTATAAATGATAACCCAATTGAGCTGGCTTTCTAATTTGAACTGCATGCCAATCCTAAAAATCAAACTTGTAAGTTAAAAATAATAATAATAAGTAACACAGTTTCTCTTCATAATGTTTATTGTAGCAGTGCATTTTTGTCAATTTTGATGTAATATTACATAATAAATTACAGAATAATTATCACCAATTTTTGATTATTGACTATAAATAGCATGGACATGTAGAAAATTTGGTTACCATTCGGCTTTATGTCCATGGGAGCTCTGAGTCCCACAATGAATGGCAACACGATAAATAT